AGGGGGTTACCCCGGTGTACTGGTTCACCCGGCCCCTGTCGTGGACTGTTTTATGTGAACTGGGCCCTCTGGGAGAACAGTAATTTGTTACTGAAGAGGAAACCCAGTATAAAGAACAAATAAATAAAATAAATAAATAAATAAATTGTACCTACCTAAACAAGATATCGCTGTCAGGAAGAGGCTAGTCTGTGGAGGGTGACAGGTAGGATCTGGATAAAACGGATACACAATATAATCAGCGAAAGTTAGAGCTAATATCGCCAGTAATGACGGCTGCAGAACTAATACATTCACCCAGAGAAACACAAAAGCTAACATAGGACCCCAAGCCTCTTTGATATACGCGTAATCTCCACCAGATTTTACAATTGTTGTTCCGAGCTCCGCGTAGCATAACGCACCGACGAGAGATCCCAGACCAGCTAATGTCCATACTATCAGCGATACGCCAACAGATCCACTATGTACCAACACAGATTTCGGTGTAATAAAAATACCGGAACCTATGATTCCACCAACAATGATTGTGACACCGTTTAGCAATGTTATTTTCCTCTGTAAACGGACAGAATCCGATGACCGTTCATCTTCATGCGCCATTGGAAATAGGCCTATATAAGAAACTCGTAAAGTGTACTAAACTGATCTATCGACCACACGCCACTATCTACTCGTAAAACCACAGCACGCTCTCACCCGTCCGACCGTAGAATGAAAATGATATTCGTGTCGTTACTGTTGTGTTAATACAGGTACTGTGCACACGCATGTACATCCACACTTTTTGCTTTAAGATTCGTCACTGGTGACGCGAAGAATACCGCAAGGTGGTCTTGTCTCTTAAGCAGCGAAGGGGATTCACAGCGCATAATGCATTAAGTTGTCCACAATAGGCAAATAGCAGCTGGAAACGTGATGTTCATAATAATGCTATTCTTGGCGAAAATTTTAAAGCTAAAGCGTAGATAAGTCACTCCAGGTTGTGGAAGGGGCCCGGGTGCGGTTTCCTTTGGCCAAATTTAGGCGTTATTAATCTGAACTTTAATTCGCCTGCTGTGGCTGTTATAATATTGCCTACTTAAAATGTCAATCAACATTTTAACAGTTCTTACGAGAGCACTCGAAAAATAAAAATAATAATAATTAATAATGTTTGCGGTATTCGTTGAAAGTGAATTATTCTAAAATCTTTATAGACAATTTTAATACAATTGCTTTAACCGGAGATCGTAATTCGCTTGCTATTATCATGGACCTATCTATCCATGCTATTATAATTTCATTTAAATACTATTTTGTAGGCCTACCGGTATGTCGTAATCTACAGTATACATTGTGTCACAAGGACGTAGTAGAGTTATTAGCCTCCATTTATACTGTATCCTGACACAGACAACGATGGCGCCACCTCGAGTTTTGTTCTAGTAAATTTATGTTGGACACAAGCAATAAACATGCAATGACGTGATTTTTTTTAAAAATGAAAACACATCTACGCTCACCTACCTACATGTCCCGACAACACATATCCAAGCGCAATTCTATACGATTAAAAAAAAATCATATTTCTTTATTACGTCATACATATAAACATGCAATTAGTTGTTTTGGTCACAGAATTTAAGATCAAATAGGCCTAGCCGATGAGAGGCACCATCTGTAAGATATAAATAAACTTTAATTCTTTATCTCCTGACCACACTAACATATACAATATTTCTTGCATAAATAAGCACCAATAAACATTTATCTTCGGAAGTTAAACATTTAAAATACGGTGGCTTAAGTCGCGCTTGTGGCGGTATGAAATGGAGTGGCATTCTCCCTGTCCTCTAAAAGTGAACTGTGATTCTATAGTGGAATAATCGTCTTTGGATTGTTTCAGACGATTCCTAACAGTCAGTTTTAGGGCTTAGGCATGTCTTCAAACTCCAACACCCGGTGCTCTTGTGTTCCTATTTTGAGTGAATTATTTTTTTAACGTGTATATTTTTATAGGAATAATTACGCAGCACAAATAAAGCCGGGCACATATTGCGTTGTACAACCGTCGGCCGACGATTGTGAGCGCTGGACGACACGACGCCGTCTGCTGAATGTTGATGATGAGGAGCGGATTGTCATTAAATCGATCCATTGCACGTGCCTCGTCGCACTGCGTTCCTCATGGAATTGCGTCGGCCGTCGGGTGCTGTGAATGCACAATTTTATTATCCCTGAGCACAGGTCCGTTATTGGCAAACCGGTAGAAAGCGCAAATTTCTGCTGCTCCTTTGGGAGTGAACCTGTCTTGCTGCATGCTACATAATGCACACAACTAACATTCAATCCAACGACATAATATCAGGTATACCAATGTTGTATATAGACGTACTGTATCTATAATACACTTTGAGTCGAGAAGAGACAACGTATGTAAATGCCTTTCAAGGTCAATGTAAAACTTGATTCATTCAATCATGGCAATAAAAAGTACCACGCTTCGATCACAGATTAATATTTAAAAATGTAAAAGACAATATATATTATATAATCCTGCTTATTTTAATATAGACATTTTATATATTTTATATACTCGACCTCAGTTTTGAGATTCTGAACAGCAACCGCCGAGCCAACCGTCACTTTCGACTTTATCATCTACACCCCTTCTGAAAATACATGGATCCACCCCAGGTAGGTTTAAGTAGTAATTTCCATGCTGAGGTTCACCCCAGGTAAGTTTAAGTAATAATTTTCATGCTGAGGTCCTCCGATATGTTTATCATAAGAAAGTAATAACTTCCTGTCCTGTCTATATTTTATGGTTCTATCATAAGCCTACATCTACTTTTTTCACTACACTTGTTACCAACGCTCGAAGTACGTATTAGGCCTAGCACAGAGTTGCCGAGTGTCGTGAGTAGAATTGCTTGTTTTATATCTTTCATTTATTTTCCTCGGCAACTGACAGTTAGTGGCGTAGCTAGAGGTTTTGGCTCCCGGGGGCAAGAGTAGAAAATTGCGCCCCCTTCCCCCCCCCCAATTATAATTATAATATTTTTAAATAAATTGATATTGGTTGTATAGACTTTAAGCATATCCGTACCGTACGTCCATATCATGCACTGTCTTTAAACCCGAATAACTATTATTATTTTAGCTCTCATATGTTCTTTCTTACCAGACTAGATGTGTATAAGAGACAGCCGTTTAGCAATGTTATTTTCCTCTGTAAACGGACAGAATCCGATGAGCATTACGATGTTCGGAACTTTGTATACAACTTTACCATTATCCTAATTTGTAAAGCTGTTGAATTTATCGCATACAGCTTAGTATTCTTATTCTCTAAATTTATTTTATAGTAGTCTTGTAAGTTGCTGAATTTTCAACATTGTTTAAACTCGCAACTGAATTTTGTGTGCTTTTGCATCAGCAAATAAGTTTAACATGATCAAAGTTAGCAATGTTCTGCTTCAACACGCTCAATACAAGTAGTGCCAAAGCAGATAGTCTCGCTTTTCCCATCTTCTCTGAGATATGGCAGGATGAGCTTTAGTCATGTAGTCATTACAGAATAGGATAAATAACAAGAGAAAACGGTCGAAATGGACTGAAAAGATCTATAAATTTGCCAACAAAAACAACTACTCAGATTCTTATTATTAACTGGAAAATATTCATGCCTGACGACATACATAAAGTTCGTCGTGTTTTTCTAAAAAGTGCTGTTTTTTACTCTCATTCTCCCATTTGAGCGCGGCAAATGGCCAAGCGGTTAAGGCAGGGGCGCTGTGATCATAGCCAACAATATCGGCACAGGTTCGCGGCCGGCTCGCTCCTATAGTTCTGATGGTGGAACAAGTCTTCTCGGATAAGGACTATAAACAGCAGGCCCAGTGTACACAAGTGCTCATGTGCACTTTAAAGAACCCAGTACATTTTTCGAGATGTGTAGGGGGTTACCCCGGTGTACTGGTTCACTCGGGCCCTGTCGTGGACAGATGAAAGTGCGCTGGCTGGTTGGACATGAAGTGACCCTCAGGGGAGGAGAAAGTTATTGAAAAGTGCAACATCTGGTCTCGAGCGCATAGAGACCTAGTTTATCTGCGCTATCTAAATCCATCTATTATTATTATTATTATTATTATTATTATTATTATTATTATTATTATTATTATTATTATTATTATTATTATTATTTCAGCCCTCCGCCTCCAAACCTGGCGCCCGGGGCACGTGCTCCCCCTTGACCCCCTAGCTACGACACTGCTGACAGCAGATGCAATGTACGGTAAAGCAACAAAAACATTTTGATGTGTCATTTTGTTATCATCTGGTTTATTACATTTTATGCCTTTTTATATATGCCCAATTATATTTCTGTGTTTGCAAGGACCCCCAATGGAAGTTTTAATTTTTTGGGCTTTTGGGTCATGTTTTTGTGCAATTTATATCCCGTCAGTATTTTGTAAATTGTTTTTATGTATTCATTTTACCACAGACGGTACTGCGGCGGTCTATCTATATAGTTTAAGTTGAGGTGATGTCCTTTTTTCATTTCAGAATTCCAGATATTATCATTATCACTGAATTGTGTTCATTAGGCATCTTGCTATTAAATGATAGTAATAGTAGTGGGCCTATCATCATTATCATTACATTAGTAGGCCTTTAAACATTATTATTATGCCTATTTTCATCATTGTGAATTTTAAATTAAAATCATTATCGGGTTTATTTATTAATATTGGGTTTATCTTATGATTAGACCTATTATTTATGCATATAATAATTGGACATATTAGAGTTGTGGCATCCGTTTTTCCCCCTTTATATTAAAAGTCTAATAATTGGTACAATGACTTGTGGTGGTCTATCATCTGTTTTGTCACGACTTATTTTCATATGTTATAAACCAATGTTATAGACACAGTAGGCCCCTATGCCTACTAATGTTGTGGAAATAGGATTATAGAGAGACTTAAATGTCGGGCACATACTGCGCCGACGGTCTTCAGTCTGCGCGATTCTACGAAGAACGCATCACATAGACCCTACATTGTTACAATGATTTGAATGCACTTGTAAAATGTTTGGCCCCTTCTAGTAATTTAAAGCAGCAAGTTATAAAGTAATTTCCATGGTAAATTATAAATCCAGGTCTTAACTTAGGTTAAATAAGACACTGTATCATAATAATCCATAGGCCTTATGGAACACAAATGCAGTAAAAAATATTAATATTTAATAATTATTTTACATGAAATCTAAAGAAATTAGGCACACCTGAGTATAACGGAAAAAAAATTACCACATATCAGCATTGGGCTTATGGGATAAAATTAGTTTTTAGGCAGGGGTCTACTTATTAAGGCTGGTGCAGTGCTCAAAAACCTATTTTTATGTGTTTTACAGTTTTGTGCCATAAAACGTTAGCCAAAGCCTTAATGTTCTTTTACACATTACATAAAAGGCCTATTGTATGTATTTGTAAGACAAGATAAAAAATATCGATGATAAACCCGCCAAGAGTAATTTCTCTACCATCCTGATACCGATCGTCCTTATTCTGTTCTCGGAACCATGCGAGGTTCACTTGTAAGATAATCGCATTAGGGTGGGCACTGTTTGGTGATCAGATGGATTATATCAAGACAAGAAAGAACAAATTTAAACTGACGTCTGAAATAAAATACTGCCAAACGTCTCAGCAATATTTCCGAGCTGGTTTCCTGTCACTGTCTCTAATAATAACAGGTTTCATTTGCCAGGATTGCTGTTATAATGCGTCACTCACAAAAGTGTGTGTTACCGTACTTCTCTTGTTGAGGTTAGGTAATAATTTATGTCGAGTTCGCGTTA